GTTTCAGGCGACTGCTTTCATTGTGAGCAGTTTCAGTAACTAAACGGGTCTCACTACCTACAAACCCTGCTATTTCAGGTCTATGGTCCCATTCACCATCACCAAATACGAAAGGAAGACAGAGGGAAATTTGAACCTTAAAGAAAAAAAGAATAATCTGACAATCTGATAAACTTCTTATATGCCTTCAGCAAGCAAGTTAAATAAGAAATAATTGAGAAAGCTTTTGACTTCTTCCTGTGTCAGGGCACTGAACCAGAATCTTGAAATGGATGTAGAAAAATCAGATATATGGCTTACTGGTTTCAAGATAGAAAATAAATGTTTGAAGTTTACAAAATGAAATAACTTGCTTGAGAGACGGTGTTTTCAGCTGAGACACCTGTGTTCATCTCTCCTTTAAGAGGCAGTAGATGCTCATGAACTCTCCGTGCTGATAACACATTGAGCCTTTCAGAATTTCATTAAAGCATCTCTTCAAATCTATAATTGAGCAGGTTTACTATAAATTGTGTCTGACAGCATACACTCCAAATTAGCTCTTTTAAGAAAATCAGATACTAATTGCTCTAACCAATCTGCCCTTCTGTTAGCTCAAGTAACACAGACTTAAAAGTCTCTCTGAAGTTTCTGCTAGTAAAAGGGAAAAAGCAGTTTATTCAAGAACAAATGCATTATGATAAAGATAAAAAACAGGCCTCAAGGAACAAGTGAAGGGCACTGTAGGGCATCCTACAGTAAATCAGATTCCCAATTTCTACCAAAACATAGAAGTTGGAAACAAGAAAAGAACAAAAGTATTTTATCAAACAAGAGCTGCAATGTGCTGGACTGAAAGAGATTGAGAAGTCTTTTTTAGGAAAAGGATAATATAAGCTTTCAGAAAATATCTAGGTGTGGATGAGAGAAACAGTGATTGATTGTATAAACATCAGTAATTTTGACAAATCATGCTCTTGTTAATCATAACCCCAATATGAAAAAAGGCCATCTTTTGGAATGAAAACATTCAGTTCTGTCACATGCTCCATTATGGACAGGATTTATGTGGTTTCCTCTTAGCAATGTAAATCAAGGCTTGGAGAGGAAAGTTCTACATATTTTACCCTTCAAAGCCCCCTTATGGCAATTAACAGATACTACAGCTCTACTCCACATCAACATACTCCGGGATTAACATAAATACTGAAAGAAAGAATGGTAAGGAAAAGGAAAATTACAGATTTAGTCAAAATGACAAACTTTTAAGGATATTAAAAAAGTGCAAGTTAAGTGAAACAGAGGATGTTAGTTTTAACACAGAATTGAAGTCATGTCAATCTTTTGCTCTAATGTTGGCAAGTTTCCACCCATATTACTTGCAATATTTTACAACAACTATAAACACATGCTATATAGCAAATCACCACTTCTTGCCTCAAACCATATGTCTATATTTGAAACAAAGTTTGAACTCTAAGCCAATGTAAATAATGCAGAGCTAAATTTGTACAGCTTCAATGCTTATTATGTCCTCTGGTTATTTTAAAGGAGAGTCCTTCTCAAGAAAGTTATAGCTATATTGTCTTACATTTTCCAAAAGGAAAAATGAACTCTAAATCTCATTTCTTTTGCTTTCAAAAGGACAAAAATTCATATCCAAATACCTTGGATGCCCCAGATATAGCTGCATCCATTTTGTCTGCCTCACCCCAGAGACCATAGCTTCATGGTCACCACTAATTTCATTAGTACAGAAGCACTTGTATATGAAATAAACAAGCTGCTCTATAAAGGCAGATTCTATTTTCTATTGCACCAGTCAATAATTTTCAAGCTAATGCCCAATACACAAACATGATACCAAACACCTTCGAACTGTCTAATCTTTTTGTCTTATTGACCCAGAAGAATAGCTTACATATCCACATAAAATACAGAAAGACACCATGTTTATATCACATAAATCAATCTCTGGAGTCAGACTTTACTAATGACCAAGTTAGTTACTTCATTCTTGGCCCAATATTTCCATTAGGCCACTAAGTCCATTATGACTTGGAATTCATGTACACATTTATACATATTTTATACACATTTTACAAAACCCTTTTAAAATGTGTAGTAGTTGCCTTTGTCAACTAGCATGTTTTCAAGGGAAGCCTGGTTAGGCCATAACATACACAAATCAGAAGAAATATTAAAGAGCTTAATAAAAGAAATCTACCATGACATAAAAATTAGTCAAGTTCTAGTACATTTCAATTAGTATCCACTAAAAAGAGGTCTTTAATTACGGTGGACCGTAATAGTGGCGGAATCATACAGGAAGATTGTATGTTTGTTGCAGTTTTACTTGTTGGAACAGCTAGATAATTTTTTTTTTCTTTTTAATGGATTTTGAAATGAGAAGTAAACATAAAAGCGTGAACTTTGGCCAAAACAGACAAGGAACAGTAAAGAATTTAGCAAAATTTCATTTTGCAAGGGTCTTCAACTCTCTTTCCTCTACAGCTTTCCAACACCCCAGTTGCTAAACTATATATAGGTGGATTTAAAAAAAAAATAGAACAGCTTTTACAACTTTGAGTCTATATTGTGCTGTGCAGATGAGATTCTGTTCAATAAAACTGTGAATATTATATAAACTTCTCTAAATAAAGACTACAACAGAGAATTCAAGTTTTTGAATTATCTTACTAATTCTCAACTCCACAGCATGGTAAGACTTATATCAAAGAGAGTTCCCAGTACGAGAGGAAAATTTGCCTCTCTTGTCATACCAAGCAAGAGAGGGGTCTGCAACTTCTTCTAGGGCACATGGGGCTGGGAGGGGAGGTACAGCCAGAAAATGACTGAGGAAAAAATGGGAAGGAAAAAAAAAAAAATCTGTCCTTGCCATAGAGAAAACAGCAGAAGGCAAGGCATAAAACAACTGCCTTGTTGCAGACAATACAGAACGGAAGGCATATTTTCACTACACTTCTATAATATATACCAAGGAAGATTGGAAAGACCTAGGTTTAGGACATACAGGAGTGTGGATTTTATAGTTAAAAAAAAAAAAAAAAGGAAAAAAGAAAACTTAAGTCATTTCAAGAAAAAGTGTAGACCTAACTCATACACTCATTACTTCAGGCAATGCAATTCTATAATTTCATGCTCATATTCTAACCAGCAGGGCACACCAACACTCTCAGTTACAAAGGACTTGGAAGCTGTGCAAACAGCTTGCAGAGGGATCTCACAGAGCACCAAAACACACCAAACTGTAGATTCTCTTGTGTTGCCTTTCAACCTAATTTATGTTTCTTTTCAACCTAATTTCTAATGCTAATTTTAAGATTCACGTAATCTGAAAAAACTATGAATATAACATAGAAAAGCCAAATAGCTATTATGCCTTTTTTTTTCTTTTTCTCCTCCTTCAAATACTTAATGGTTTCAACATTTATTTTCTGGAAACCATATCTTTACTGCATATGATGTTTTATGCCTGTAGAGAATACTTGTGTGAAGCGAAGTGAGAAGGCTGGAAATAAAATGAATCACCTACTTGTGATCTGCCTAATCTATACCCAATTTTCTTGCATTTCAGTCATAATAAATTCCACTCCTGGCAGTTTAAAATGTTAATTAACTCCTCAACATAAGTCTCATTAGGTAGGACAGACACTGGATTCTCCTGCTTATACTTTAAATTATTTTTTAAACTAATTATATAGATAACTACTGCTAAAACCAGGCTATAGTGTAGCAGTTTGAAAGAACAAATGACTTAAAAAATAAAATTCTCTTTTTAATTGAGTGAGAATTTGTGCTTCCAACTCAGATGTCTTTAATTCTACTCCATAACGTACTAAACAAATGTTACTGAAATAACTATACCAGGACCACATCAGCAAAGACTGAAATTTTTCCATATGGAATATGAAATTGCTGTAATTTTCCATATGGCTTTGCTTACTTTCAGTTCCAAATAGCAAAACATCATAAACAAAAGCAGGCACTTTCATAGACCAGTTATCAAAACCCATCAAGAGTCAAAACTTGAACACTAACATAACACCACAAAGCAAACAGGCTTGGATTTAAAATAAGATTCCAAAGGATATACAATGCAGCCAACATTCAAAGTACATCATTACATTTTAACCAATACCTCTTTTTATTTTTTTTCTCCTTTCCTTCTTTCATAAAATGTTCCTAGAGAATGAATTTGCCATTTTGACACCTTTAGTGTTAAAGCTTGGAAAAAAGAACAATTGTCAACTTTGGAAGGTTATTTCCCACTCCCAAACAACACAATGTTTTCCTGAATTCTAGCCAAGTAGCTGTATTCTGAAGAGGTTCTGTTTCCTTCCTAGCAAGGAAACAAAGGTAAGTGTTTTATAATATATTATTTGCATTATCCTTATAATCTAGAAAGTGGATTAGGTTTCCACTGCGCTAATATATACACCACTTAAATAGTAATTTGGCGATATAGACTACGTCATCAAATATTAAACTTGTTATTAATAGCTTTTTGCTTCCTGGGGGTATGGTGCCAGTGAAGTAACTCAAGTAAGATGAAAAATCACGTTGCCTGTTCAAAATCCCTCCCGCACAGCAGTTTCTCTGTCATTTATAGGCTGATCAGACATCTCCCTAAAGCTCAGTACAAACTAATTTGGCAGACATGTTTCAGTAAGGCTTCATTCCTGGCAGATACTCAGTGACTACACTGGCGAGTAAGTTGTCCCCAACTTCACCACTGTTCTCAAAGCTTTTACAATGCAGCTTTTACTCTAATAGGATTATCTTCCATAGTCACAGACACTCATCCTGACATCCTCAAGACAGTCACAGGAGTGAGGGGGAGAAAACCTTCTGCATGTGAAATAAAGTCCTCATTCATTCTCATCAGACTTTTGTAGTTACAAAACATATTGAGAGAGAACCAGAGGGGTGAGAGTTTTCTGCGTTCAATTGGTTGGACACTATATCAAAGGTATGACTAGAAGAATATTTACACTTACCAGTAGAAAAAATAAGAACTGTGTTATTCCAAAGATTGTATTTTTTCAGAGCATCAGTAAGGTTTCCTACAGCTTCATCCATAAGTGTCACCATTCCTGAATAACGGCGCCTCTTTTCATCCTTAATGTGGGAATACGGTTTCATGTATTCCTCAGGGACCTCAAGAGGATCATGGACTGATTGAAAAGCAAGGTAGAGAAAGAGAGGCTGGGGAGGAAGGGACAGAATGTAAATTAGTTGAATGTGAAGCATTGAAGGCAAAAGTTACTAGCGCAAAAACATCTGCCATTCATCAAAAGGAATAGGAACTATATTTTCATTTCTTTCAGATTTTTGTCTCCTAACCCCTAAGCAAAAACTACTCAAACACTGATAAATAATGAATGCACACCTGTGAAAAACATCAGGTGCATCTTCATAATCACAGCTAAGTTTTTGTGACTCTTCTCCCACTAAACATTGTTTTTCCTTTCTGGAGACTGAATCTTTTAGAAGACATGCTAAATGGGTTCTATAAACTCATTTGCCACAACCTGTGACAATAAAAAAATCAAATGAAGGGTAGCAAGCCAGCGTTATGTAGCCTAAATGGATTCAGACAAGAGGCAAGGCAAGTTTTGTGGGCACTAGTTCTCACATTTAGTTGTCTTCCATCCCGCAGAAAAGCTTTAATTCACAGCATGAGCATAAGACTCAGCATTAACATTATTCTAAATATTCTTTAGTGTTAAAGTTATCAATAAAGTGATAGCTGCTGACTGCACCTTCTCAGTGTTGTGATTGGCTATCAGATCTATAGCTCTTTCTGTGAACAAATTAGTGGAGTACACATTTTTAAATCCAGTCACAACTTCTTCTCCATCTCGGAAGTCCAGAGCACAGCGCGTCACATTCTTTGCTTTGATGAGCACACAGCGGTCATGAGAGTAGTAATCCTCACTCCCCAGAAGATAGCCTAGAACAGGAAAGGTGACAAGCAAACAGGTACATCAGGAAAAACAAGGTCAGAGATAAATGTCGGGATTTGATGATCCCTGGACAAGGCTCGTTATTTCAGTGTTCAACATTTCTTGGGCTTTTCGGTGCTAATGCAAACAGTAATTGCAAAAAATACAAAACATCTTGACAGGTAATGACTACGCAGTAACTTTATATCAGACATTACCATTAATTAACACAATCATAGCAAGGGCAGTTACCTGGCCAGGTACTATTGTGATTTTTAGCTTGTATGATTTTGTATATTTGCCTTTTCACAAAAGATTTCTCTCTATTAGAAAGTTTGGAGTTATATTTTGTTTGCCTTTATTCAACAACATTAAAGTACCCAGCATTTTTCATATCAGCTGCAAGGCAATTTCTGGTCTGCTGCTGACATCAGCTGGTGAAAAGGGATATTATTTAAAGATCTCCCAAACAAACAGGCTAGACAAAAATTCTGGTAAAGAACTTCTCTATCAAGACTCATTCTATCAAGCTTTGAACACTTTTGCTTTTCACCGAACCAGAAACAAAATATTTCACAAACTTATTTTGAAGATTGAATGATTTTGAAATATTCCATTCAATGAAAGCATCCTGAGAAAAAAGAATTGGGGATTAATAACTTTATATTTAGTACCAAGTGGAAGAGATGCCTTACTGTTTACCTGACTACAGACTAACATCTGTGATACTTGTGTAAAACTATTAGATCTTCAGGCAATGCTGGGGCAGAAGCATTAAGACAGGAAAAATAAATCACATGTAGTCAGCAGGTTCTTGTACAAGTTACTTCCCAACTTGGAATTCTTGTACAGTGCTTTTTGGATGCTGTTTTATAGAGTTTCTTACACCACCTTCTTTGCCACGGAGTCTGGGAAAGCAACTTAAATTATGCTGTATCACCAAAGCATGAGCACATCACGATATGAAGTGTGTGGTGTAAAGTGCTTTTAAAAGTTTCTCTTTTTAAAAGATCAGCTTATCAGATACATTTCATTATTTACAGAATAATGAATGTCTACTGCTGATCTAATGCAAAAGTTCGGTTCAAAGGTGCCTCTAGAAATCATATTGACGATACACCTTGAATTTCCTAAACATCTTTACTAAATTCAGTAGCTATGACATTTTCTACAATAAATCTTATGGCTTTGACATGCCCTTAAGGCATTACTTTTTTTAAACAAAAAGTTATACCTCGTAAACAGGCATGCTCAAGTATTGATTTAAGGATACATTAACAATAAATCTATCACCCTTAGAAGAAACAAGTCATTTCTCCTTTTTTAAATGCTATTTGTATTATTAACATATTAACATTACCAAAGAAAGTATCAAATCCTCTCCGGGTTGGAAGGCATTCCTTTCTGTACATGCCCAAATGCCACTTCCCCACCATGTGGGTAACATATCCTGCCTCTTTAAGGAGCTCTGGGAGTAGCTTCTCATCCAGGGGGAGGCATGTGGGTTGGCAAGGCCAAATTATTTGGTGTTGTAAACCTGTGTGGATCTAGAAGGAGATGAAAAAAGAAAAAGAATAAAGAAAAGGAGCAGATATGAGTTACAATTTAATATAACACCTTAGACAATGTACACATCCAGGTATGCAACATTGTAAGTGAGGGCCTGAAGAAACAAAATGGCAGCGCAAGAAGGCGTGAGTTTGAGAGGATCCTGTTTTAGGGGTGCCCCGCAGAGCAGTTACAGGGGCCAAGGGTGGCGGAGGGGGGAGCAGAGAGGAAGATAACAAAATAGTGCTGCAGGTGGCAGCAAGAAGATCTTTCCAAGCACAAACTAAGCATAATTAAAAACCATCTTTCATGTTTTCATCTGAAAAACTGACAGGCAGCAACTACCATTACAGTCTGTTTGAAGGCTAAGCGCGACGTCTGAATGTGGAATGAGAAAAGTCAAGGGGCGCTGGGGACAGGCCGAAAAAGAGCCCTGCGGGTGAAGAGCTTTTGTCTGTGGGTGAGGATAGTCACTGGGAAAAGGGCGCTGCAGGCCAGGAAAGCAAATGTTTGTATCACTGCTCTAAGCAGACACGATAAATACATCCATACATAAACACGCGTATATACATGCTTAAAGGGAGCATAAGCACTTTTAGAATAAGTATTCGAATATGAGGGATAAAGCAAGTTTTATATGCTGCCTAAATCTGACCACATAAGTTTCCAGTCTTAAAAAGTGACTTATCATGTATCTTTACAAAAACATCACGCAACAGGCATTACCTAAAATATTTCTTGTACTACTGATATGACTCTCCAGCTGGCATGTACCATAAGCTTACTTTTGTCAACTCCGCTCTCTCTCTCTCTCAAAAACAAAAGCAATTATCCTAAACCTAGGACAGGAAGTGGACATTCAGGCTACAAATATCTCATTTATTTACTAAATATTTCCAGTAATCAGCCTTTTTCAAAGCAGAAAATTTCCAGAGCCCCCTGGACCACAAGACAGCTGATTTTGTAACTAACCAATCCAGCAAACCACATAATTAATTTTAAAAGTATCACTTAACATTGCTGTGAATTCACTTTTAAATCAAACGAGTCCTGATCTTAACTAAGTGGGTAAGTAGGCACTCACTCACTTAACTTAAGTTTTTAGTATTTTTCACTATATTTTAATATACTGAAAGACACAAGCTAACAAAGCACTGTAAACTCTTCCAGTGCCTCTAGAAGGCAACAATAAGGAGAGAATATGATAAAAATCTATAATTTTTATAAATCAATACCTTTGCTCTTTGTTCATTTAGAACAAAATGCTTATCAAAATTCCACCTCTGGAGAGGACCAGATTTAGCAAATTTAGGATTTTTTCCTAAATCTCAAAGCAAATATTAATCAGTGGTATAAAACAAACAAACAAACAAAAGCTGTGCACACTTGCTACATAATTATTTCTTGCACAGCATATATCCCCAATTTTATATAAAATTACTGCCTTTTTTTTTTTTTTGTAAAAAGGTCAACCTGAATAATTACATTATCAAGTCAGATACATACTAGTTAAATCAAGGCTGATCTATGAACATTTCCATTTTTAGGAGCAGTACAGAACCTCCACTTAATAACGAAATATTTCTACACAAGCAGCTTAGAGTACAAATTATATTCTAGAAATAGTCAAAATGAAGAAAAGCATTATTTTAGGTTATGTATATACAAATTTTAAGAAAGCTGAAGAATCAGCTATATGTCCCTAATCTTTATTACAGACTCCTGAGGTTTCTAGGAACACATCAAAGCTGCCACCGAAGGGTATCATCTAGAATGGCCTTTCTGAGAGAACAAGAGAGAATAATGTAGCCAACAGTTCAGGAAGGCACTTGTTTTCATTCTGAACACTTTCCTTAAAAAAATCTCTATGATTAACACACATACATGTAGGATTTTCTGATAGAGATGGAAAATACACCTCATTCTTTGTCAGTTCCCTCTTTCTGTTCTTGCTTTACTTCTTCCTTCCCCATTTTTATCAAAGTTTTTTTAAAACAAGGAGAGGGGATGCAAGAGAATAATAAAGTTCCGCAACGTGATGAAGGCTGATTCTTACCGCTGCACAGCAGAAAACTGAGGGCATTAGATACCAGACCAAGGTGCAGTCAATCTGCACCCCACCAGAGGTGGGTACGTAAAGATATGGTATCATATAAAGGAAGATATATGGGTTAGGACGTATTCACATACTGCACTGGAAAATAAGCCGCAATGTTACATGTCCGTCCAGTCAATGGCCTAACAGAAGAGGACAGTATGGGAGATATTTTTCCAAAGACACCGCTCCGCCTGACCTGACCTGAAGCGCAGACACCTCTATGCTTTTCCGAAGGGCCTTGCAACAAGACCCACATTTAGCCAACTTTTAAGCCAGTAAACAAAAGTGAAGATGGTTTATTTGCACGTAAATACACCTCATCTTCATAAATTCATGGAGTCACAACTTGGAGTCTTGCTCCAAGTGATTATTTAAGTGAGATGAAAGAAGGCCACACTATACGTATACATTAATACCTTAATGTATATGCTATACATTAACAGCAGACGGCAAGGAAATCCTTCATCAAGTAAGTGTTAGCGCAGTATGTCCTATTCAGAGTACAGCACCAGAAAGACTAAAGAAAAGCCCCAGAATTAAGCGCGGGAGAAGCTGGGAGCCATCGAGAGGTGCAAACCCTCCCTGGAAAGCACGGGAGATGCCATCCCGAGCAGCGGCAGCCGCACATTTTGGCATTTTTTGCAGCTATATTTTTCCTTTGGCGGCGGGAAGACGCTCGCTGCGGCGCCCTCCGGGAGGGTCACTCACGCCTGCCCGCCCGGGTAGGGCGAGC